GATCTCTGTGAGCGCGGGTGAGGGGGACAAGCATCAGGTCTGTCGGTGTCGCGTTTGACGGGGGAAACAGGATGGGCAAGCGGAGTGAGCGGAATGGCGCGTCGCGTTCGAGTGGGTCCATACCCCATAAGAAGGGTCCTTTGCGAAGATCACTCCTCTTGCGCTTGAGGGGGTGCGCGTCGTACGCGACTGATAGGACTGGTAGGTGGATTTGAGGGGGACCTGTCAAGCTGTATCCTGACAATGACATGGTGCTTGTTGCGTAAAAGACCCGTTCGATGGGTTGGTTGTGGTGGTGGTGGAGGTGGTGGAGGTGGTGGTACGTGCAAAGGCGGGGAGAGGACAATATTGTCCTGATATTGTTCCACTGGCATTCCGCGTCGCGCGGAGCCCTAACCCCTGTGCACACGCTCACGTGCCGCGGGCGCCTCGCCGCCGCATCCACTCTCTTCTAACCGCGTCTGCTCCAGCTGCAGCCCTCGCGGTCTCCACGATGACGCACGCGCTGCCATCGCTCTGGCAGCTCGAGTCCTCCTCCTCGAGTCGCCACCACGCTCTCTCGCAGCCCCGCGTTGACGTCTGAGCACACCGAGCTATTCAAGCACAACTCAAGTCTATTGATCTATCAATACAACATTCGCCGCCGTCTATCCCACCCTTCTGACTACCTACATACAGCGCCCGCGGGTGCGACTGCGCCCTGTACCCGGTACGTATGCGCTAGCCCGTCGGACAATGGCTTACCTTTGCCTGCAGATAGCCGCTCCCTGACTCGATCCTGGGACGCCTCTATCGCTGGCATACACGGCTGCACCCGCAGAGGCGTCCGGGACGTCTGCATCGGAGCTACCGCTCGTCGTATGTGTCCGAGCACCTACCTTACCAGATACATACCTGCCCCTTGCGACCACCTGCCCAGCGCAGCCCCCGCAGTCGTCTCTCAAACGGCGCGAGCCTGTGAATAGGTGCATCAGCGCGAACATCTCGCAGGACGCGACGGGAATACTCACCTCGTTTGCAGTACAACTACCACAGCAGCGACGACTTCCAGAGACAAGACGTCGCACCACGCCATTGACGAATTGCGGGCGACCCTGCAACGTCGTCAGCGCACTCCACACATGAGAGAAGGAAGGAGTACGTACCGCGTACCGGCAGCGGCACACCGCGCACTGCGCCTCTGCAGTCGCTCCAGACGAGGATGGGCACGGGACGATGGGCCTGCGACCTCGTCGACAGCGCCCACCACCACAGGACCGCACCGCGTCCGCGGCGTGCGTCGCAGGAGACGAAGACGAGAGGGGGACAAGAGGAAGAGGGGGGACAGGGCATGCAGCTCGACCCGGGTCCTCATGCACCCTAAGTACCTCTCCGCCCGCGCACGGACCTCCTCCGAAGCGATGTGGGACTCTTGGCCAGACGTCCGTGCTGGCACGATGCCCGGACACGACCCACACAACACCGCGGCGCCTCCGGATCATCCGCATTCGCGGTGAGTAATTCCGCCCGCACCGCCGCGCCGCGGGACGACGCTGACGCCCATTTGGCCCCCTAGTGTTTCGGACGGACGCGGCGCATACGCACGGCCGCCGCGCGCGCACCCTCGCATAGCCATCCGATCGGTGGGTGCCCGCTCGCTCGCATCTCGCCGCTCTGGGGCCGCTATTTCGCGAAAATACGAAAATACGACATTCCGCGCGCAGAACGTGCGGTGCGACTCCGTGTGTGCGATGGCGGCATCGTTCGAACACTCTGCGCCGGCCCTGCGATTGTGGAGGGCAACGGACGAGGTTCGTTTTTGGGTGCCAGAGACGGTCGAGGTCGACACGGTGCCGAAGGACGAAAATTGAAAGTTGTCGAATCGGCCCGCAAATGACAGCGCTGGTTGGAAACGGTTGTGAGCACTCGCCGTCGGAAGGACGCGTCCTGCGGAGGCGAGCCAATCGAGGTATGTCCAATTTACTGGCTTTGCCCCCGAAAACTCGTCGAAAATGACCTGGATTCCGTGCCCAGGCGGCCCTGTGTGCACAGAGCTCGCGCTGCATCCTCATGCATACACCCACGCAGCGGTTCGAGCGCGCCGCGCGATCCCTGAGAGTGAAGAACACTGGCGGCGGGCACCTACATGCGGTACACCGCGTCAGACTCGACCATCTCGCCGCCATTCAACGAAAACTCAAACTCGTCCAAATCACGCCCAAACGCAGGGGCATGTGCGAACCGTGCAGGAGCACCCGCCGTCCGAATGCCGCGCTCTGCGGCGCCGGGCTGACCGAGGTACGCGCGATTCTCTCGCACCCGTCCTCGAACTCGCCCGAGATTGACCCAAATGTCGGCCCGCAGGTGGCGCTGTGTGCACGGAACGGGTGTTGTGCGCTCGTGCTCGCGACGGCGCCGTCGTCCGCGCACGCTCCGCCGTCTCTGGGGCCGCTGGAGACGACGGACGAGGGGTCCGTCTTGGGCTCGAGGCCGGCCCGCTGCACGATGGCGAAATGCGAAAGTCGTCGAACGCACCCGCGAACGCAGGGGCTGGTGCGCAATGCTCTGGGGAGCGCGCCGTTCGAAGGACGCGTTCTGCGGAGGCGGAATGCGGGAGGTACGCGCGATTCGCTGTGTGCGCCGTCGAAATCGGTCGAAAGTGACATTTTTCGTTTTCTTCGCAGATCGCGTCGAGACGCGCAGAGCGTGCGCGGCCGTGCTCGCAGACGTCCGGTGGCCCATTTCGGAGGGCGCACGGGACGTTCGCGGCGGCACACCGACGGATCTCTGCGCGCGCAGCCCGCCCCCCGGGCCCCGATCTCCTCGACATCGACGATGGACACTGCGAGACAGTGCAGGCAGGGTGTACGAGCCAGGTCGACGAAGGTCCCGCCCGAGTTCGCGCACGTACAGGCGTCCGTAGGGTACCGAGTGCGGATGCGGTCGCGCACGTCGTCGTCTCGTGCACGCGCCGCGGATGCTCCGGAGCACT